CTGCCATGAAAGATGCACCTTTACAGTTCTGGAAGTTCATGTTGTCTCTTCTCCTGCAGCGAGCCCAACGGGAAGCTTCCCAGAGATGAATTCCTGGTGAGCCCGCTTGTTCTGCCCCAGGACGTCCACGCATACCGCCCCCACGAGGTGGTGGATGCCTTGCACGGCCGCGTGGCCCCCTTCAGGGACGCGCGGCCGACGTACAGCTCCGGCATGCTCAACGGCGTCGGCACGCCCGGCAACTACCATCTCTACGGGCAGTTCCCCATGCCGGGGTTCCCCTTCCCTCTCTGCAAGCTGACTGATGCCAAGAACGCATTCGGCGACCTGTCACGGAGCAGCATCCACCACAAGCACGCGCACGATGCCGCCGCCATCAGCAGGGCCGAGTACGCTCGGGCGGTGGGCTCCTCCGGCGTCCTACACGCTGCAAACTTTGCCCCCAGGGAGTTGGGGCGGGAGGACGAGGTGAAGAAGGAAAGCAACGAGGCGCTCGGGCTACCGCTGGGCTTGGGCGGGAGGAAGCGGGTCTACCCGGTCATGACCCTGGACCACCACAAAGACAAAGAGCACGCCCCGCCAGCCGAAGAAGACCTGATCCATCACCACTACCCGCTCGGGATCTCCTCCACTGGCCGCAAGAGTCTCATGAGTAGCCCGCAGAGCCCCCTTAAGTCCGACTGCCAGCCCAACTCCCCGACAGAGTCCAGCAGTAGCAAGAACGCCGGCCTGTCGCAGGCCGCCTCCGGAGCGCAGCAGCCGGGGGCGGGAACCCAGGACCCCAAAGCTCGCAACTGGAAGAAGTACAAATTCATCGTGCTCAACCAGAGCGCCAGGGAGGACGAGGCCGGTCTGCGCAACCCCGGCCTGTGCTCGCCTCAGCGCGTAGGCCTGCAGGCGTATCTCCACCCGGGAGACTCCGACAACTTGGAGGCGCAAAGCACAAGGAAGAGCGTGGAGGATCATCCAGTGCCGCAGACCAGCCGACTCAACAACATCATCAGCAGGTGAGGGAAAAGCTCCGGAGTCGAGGACGCATGAGGACAAATTTCTTTTCTCGGCGTCACCCAGATCAGGGTCATCTGCTCATGTAGAAACGACGGGAGCTCTAAGTTGTTGGAAAACAAAGAGCGGCTCAGTTTCTTCAGTTCTGCTTTTGTGGTTTTTGGAAAATAAATTGGAAAATCTTGGACGTTTTGAGTGATTCGAAATTTGAAGTGTTGTTGGTCTGAAATTGAGGCAACTGGACTATTATTGGTTGTTGAACAGCCAGGATGAATCCAGTTGCCTCGATTCTACTTAAACGGGTTTCGGATACCATTTTCTTTGTTTTGTACTTAAAACCATTGTGGTCAAAAAATGTTGAGATCTTTTTTTTTTTTTTTTTTCATTTCGAAATGAAGGCAACTGCACTTTTGGTTTTTGGTTGACGGAAACCCCCTGGTTGCCTCCGTCATCCAGGTCACGGTAAAACCAAGGCAACGGTACTCGTCATTGTTGTTGAACAGCAACAGGGTTCTATTTTAAAAGCTTTTCATACTTTACCACCCGCCAATCCTGACAATTCAGACTCTATTTTGTACTTTCACCAGGCAGCTTGTGTTCAGGTTCCCATAATTGACGGCGTGAATGGTTGTCTACCCACAACTATCTTCCAACGTCCACTCAATTTAATCCTCCTCACTCACAAGTTCTGCTGAATTCATTTTTTTAAATTTAGTTTTTAATATTTGAAAGAAAGGGAGGTGGGGGGGGGGGGGGGGCTGGATTGAAAATGTTTGGATTAGACTCTGGAAGAAAAATGGATGTCTCGTTGTTGAACACTGATATTTGTGTGTTTTGCTCTCAAGTGCGCTGGATGGGTCGCTGAGAAACGCAGAGGGCCAGCACCCAACACGGTACCTGACTCGCCTCAACTGCTCGTCGTGCGGCGCCCAGTCCCCGCAGCATTCTGAGATCTGCCCTTCCCGGGCGCGGCTGGGCGAGGACCTGGTCGATATGCGCTCAGAGTACTCCGACTCCAGTTGCGGTAAGTCCTGGGCGATTTCAGTTTATAGCGTAGGACGATTTTGATTTTCAAATCGGGTTTTCTAAGGTGGGTCCCGCCATTTTCGAACTCACGGTTTTACCCGCACCTCCCTCCCGAACAGAAAACGGCAGCTTCTTCTGCAACGAGTGTGACTCCAAGTTTGCCGAGGAGGAATCTCTGAAGCAGCACGCGCTCCAAGTCCACAGCGACAAGCCCTACAAGTGCGACCGATGCCAGGCCGCCTTCCGCTACAAGGGCAATCTCGCCAGCCACAAGACCGTCCATACGGGTGCGCTCACGCCCGGTCCTTCGCGTCCCCTTCCTGTGTTCCCAACCGCTCCCTATCCAAAATATACAGTCAAGCCCTACTTTTTGTGCCGATTTTATCATGCATATATGCTTTTTTTTTTTTCTTTTAACTGTAGGTTAGTCTTAGGATAAAATAAAGGCGATTTAATATGAAAGAGCTACGTGCCCAGATATACACTGCGCTATATTGTGTATGCTGTTCAAAACTGTATTGAGTGTAGGTTCGAAGTCTACTAACCTTGTAGAGTGTATTTTAATCGGGAAAGTATGGTGAGGGAATGATTGCGAACCCGGTGCCTGTTTTTTTTTTGTTGTTGCATTTCAGCTCATCGCTTGTTGTTGTCGTGTTTGTTAGGAGAGAAGCCGTACCGCTGCAACATCTGTGGTGCTCAGTTCAACCGACCAGCCAACCTCAAGACTCACACTCGCATCCACTCAGGAGAGAAGCCATACAAATGTGAGACGTGCGGTGCTCGCTTTGTACAGGTAATTAAAAAAAAAAAAATCATTGTCTGCAGTCCCGTACTGAAAACTTTTTGGGGCTCTCGACATGCCTGAAAACACAAAATTTTGGAAGCATGTGTATGTATCCTGATGGGAAAAAAAAATGGTGTCCCGCAAACTATGTATTTGACTTGAAACCTTCTCCATAAAACTTGAAACTAGCCCTTGCTTGAAACTGTAAACCCCAACTCTAGAATTAAACTCCAACTCAGGCTTGAAACCCTAACGTCACACCTTACCACCAATAATGTTCATTTCTAACCCTGCCTTGAAATGGTGCTTGAAAACTTTCACCCTTCCTTGAAACCCCAATGCTCACTTGACACCTTCATCCTATACATCGAAACCATGACTGAAAGCGCTAATTTGAAACCCTACCCTTATAACTTGAATACCAAAACCTGAAACCCCAAACCCTGACATGAAACCTTAATTTGAAACCTCAAACTTTCTTCAAAAAAAGTGTAATGATATACCTTGAGACCTTGGTCTCAAACCCCAACACTGACGTGAAACCCTAACTGTAGCTCGACTAATTGTAGAGATTCAAAAGTATCGTCTTTTGAAACATTTCCCGCGACCGACGACAAAAACTGCCTGCCTGAGACTGCAGAAGGACCTCCCTACTCTTTTACAGCCAAGCGTATAACAATGATAGCAATTCTGGTTTTGGGACGTGCCCCTAACTCGGAGCATAAATAACAACTGCGGCTGGTCTGTCCTCATCAAGCCTTTGTTGCTCAAACTGTTGAAACCTTCTGAGATGATCGGCGAAACGTCTTCTAGGACAAACAGAGCAGTCTATTTGCGATCCATTTTATTGCCCTGAGAAAGAAACGACGCGGATGATCGACAAGATATCCACAACACAAAATTAGCCGGATCTCTCTCTCTAGAATCAGGACGCACAAAAAAAAAAAAAAAAAATCCATGTCGGAAATCGAACACACCGGCATCCGCTTTTAGTATGAAGCAGGCATCGACACTTGGCTCGTGGTTTTCTTCATGACTAACGTGCTCTGGTTTTGATCCCCGGCAGGTCGCCCACCTCCGAGCCCACGTGTTAATCCACACGGGCGAGAAGCCGTACCCCTGCGAGATCTGCGGGACGCGCTTCCGCCACCTGCAGACCCTGAAGAGCCACCTGCGCATACATACAGGCGAGAAGCCCTACCACGTAAGTCAGCGTTCAGCTGCCGATTCACCACGTTTGCTTTTTAACTCTGGGCCGAGTCTGGAAATTTAGTGGTGAAGAAATGTCATTGAAAAGACACACAATGCTTCCAAATATAGCACGAGTGCAACACCTGTCCATCAGATAAATCAAAATAGTGGGTTTCCAAAGTTTTTTTGGGTGCAAAACATGGTTTGCATTTTTTTTTTTGCTCCCCCCCCAATTCTATATCGCCTTCAAATTTTGCACATTAGGAGTACTTTAGCCCAGGCCAAAAATTTGATTGCTTTCTTCAATTATGATGACATTGCAAAAAAATTGACTTTTTTTCGAAACGTTCAAATCTTTTCACGTTGGTGGCAATATTCGAGAGCTCAACTTCAGCCAAAAATACGGTAGCCATCTTGATCCGAGGATCAAGATGTCATCTGATACGTTTTGGGCTGCGAGTTCCATTTGTAAAATGTCTCATTTGAATTAATGGAATTTATTTTCATGGAAAATGTGAACTCATGAGGACAGGGCAAATTGTGCAAAAGTAATCCAACATTTAACAACCGGACTTCCAAAAGTTTACACAAGGTCACATGAAGTTCATCTCTAAAGGTCACAGCGCATTTTCACTTCATCTTAAAAATTGCCCCCCTCCCCAACTCTAATATTGGAAACTTTCTACGTGTAATTTTTTTGTCTGAGCTGCTGTTAACCTTGCGACGCAACTTTTTTCCTCCCTGTAGTGTGAGAAATGCAATTTGCACTTCCGCCACAAGAGTCAGCTGCGTCTTCATTTGCGACAGAAGCACGGCGCCATCACCAACACCAAAATCCAGTACCGCATTTCCACTGACACCATGCCCACAGACCTCACCAAGGCCTGTTGAAATGGACAACGCCATGGTGGACAGCTCCAACACCCCCCACCCCCCATTCCAACGGCTCCCTTTCGACGTGTACAATCATCCTAAAACGCTATTGGCCACACTGTGTTCGTTGGACTAATCACAATGGCGGTGTTTTTATTGTGTGGGTTTTTTTTTTGGGGGGGGGGGGGGTCAAAACACAGGTTTTCGTTTTGTTTAGATTGCATTCCGATTTTATTTGGTGTGAGCGGTCGTCGTGATCTCCACAGGGGCCAAACGTTTGTGTCACATTCTACAATTTTGATAAAGTGAGAGCAAATTTTGCATCGATGTCATTTGACTAGTCAAAACTAGTCCAATGGGTTTTTTTTGGTTCATTTTTGTTTGTGCGATTTGAAATTTTGCACATTAAGAGCAGTTCTTGAGCTCTATGCAGGCCAAAAATGTTTTTCATTTTTGATTAGGTGACAATAAATTTCACTTGCCAATGTTTTTACGCAGAGAAGGGATTTTTTTTTTTTTTTAAATTCGGATGACAGTTAAAAAAAAAAAAATGTGAGCCTGTGCAACAGATTTCACTATCCGTTATTTATAGCTGACATTTCAGGAAAAAAAAATCCACCTGTTGCAGTAATTCATACATTACAAATTATTATTATTTTTATGAAAACCTGACATGCTAAACCAAAAAGAGGGCAGATTTGTAATCAGTGCCAATAAAAAAAAAATCTAGAAAAGCGGAGTTGGATTTGGTCTTAAAAAATTTTCATTCAAAACATGAGTGCCACACTGTAGGAAGTTGAGGGGTTTTTTTTTTCTTTTTAATGTTAATACAGAACATAGGTCAGTTTTATTCAGATAACGTTAAATTTTCTCAGATGCCAGTCCGCCATTCTTTTTTTTTTTTTTTTTTCACAAAATACAGCTCACATTTTTATTTGGATCATTCGGATCAAATTTCCAATATTAGTAGCAGTACTCAAGATGTCCACATGGGCCTAAAATGGCCTGAACAGCGGCCCACCCCCCTTTGATGTGTACAATCATTCAAGACGCTAGTGCCACACTGTGACAAATCAAAACGGCGAGGTTACGCTAACAAAAGAAAGAAAAAAAAAACGGGTTTCCACTACATGTGAACATGGAGTCACTTTATGGTTTCTATACGTACAAATCAATATAAGTGTGTATGTACGTATGTGTGTTTCTAAGCTTCGAAAGTACATAAAGCTTTATTTTCTCGAAGGATGGAATGTATTTAAAAATTTTAAAAAAAGGTGATTTTTAGGGAGAAGATTAAAAAAAAAAAGTACAGTATTTTATATCAGAGAACTTACTTTTCTGGAAACACTGACTGACGGGTGGTAACATATATTTTCAAAAGAACGGGAGTCGTCTATTCATTTTAAAAACACCGCTGTGAAATGAGTGGGGGGGAGAAAAAAAAAAAAGGAACATTTGCCCAACAACTGCTTATGCATGAGCCACTCACTCGAGGGGTACGATTATAAATATTGTGATATATATTGTGTATTTATACATATTTGTGGGATTGTTCTCTGCAGGCGGAGTCAATCGTCTTTGATGTTTGATGACATTTTGATGTATTTGTAGAGGTGTTTTTCTTCTCTCTTTTTTTTGGGGGGGGCGGGTGGTTGTTATTGGATTTTGTTTTTCATAAGTGAAGGTTTCAAGTTTTTTCGATCATTGTTCTTGCTCCCGACGTACAGTTGTGTCGTTGTCACTTTGTACATATATACACTGTGGATTCAATGTGCCTTTTCTCCACTGCAACGCAATTCAGCTCTGTTAAGGTACAGCCCCCTCTTCTCCAACCCCCTCCCCGTGTGTGTATGTTTGAATATGTATGTGTGTTTGTTTTTTTTCTTCAATGCTTGTCACCAACCTTAAAAAGTAAATGCATCACTGTAAATCTTTTTGTTTTTTTTTTTAACGGAATTGGAAAAACTATTGTACCATGTCCTTTGATGTATGAATGTAAAATAAAGGTATTTGATTTCTATGCGTTATAGGATTCCGATTTAGGATGTCGTTTTCTTATCAGTGTAGTCGTAACACTTGTTTGCAAATCAACTCAAGACAATAGCTCATTTTAAAGACCATACTTTTAAGAGCTAAAAAATAAAATGCTTTTTTTTTTTCTTTTTGGTTCTTAAAACTAACGCCATACAGATTTGCCGTGAAATTTTGCATCTTTATTTCCCAGAAATGAACATTCACAAAGCAACGCTCTTAGTGAAGCCCAACATAAAGTTAAAAAAAAAAGACACAGGCATTAAAACATGACTTTAAAAAAATACCTGTTTTCATACAAAAGTTTGCTTTTTTTTTCGTACAGTAAACAAACTAAGACAGGTATGAAATCTTTTGGGCTGTTTTGACTCAGTTTCTTTCACTTAAAATTAAATCAAACAAACCCTTCTAAGGATATTTACATGATTATTCGAACATTAATAATCATTTTTTTAATGTTTTGTTCAGATATGGAGTCGACCGACAAAGTTGAGTCCATACCTGACCTCTTTTTAAATGAACAGAAAACAACTCAAGCCGTCTTTGCGACAACCCGAACCCAAATAATAAACACCCTCCCAACCCATGGCCCGCCCACCCGCCCGCACCTGCAATCACTGCTTCTGCTGCATGGCCTCTTTGCGTGCGGCGTCTTGAAGTAGCTGCGTGTCCACCTCGTCGGCAGGCAGCTGCACGTAACGGACCACCGACCCGCGGATGAAGCAGTTTTTCACCGACAACTGAAAGTAACGAAACGGACTAATTGTGGCGAGCGAGTGATGGCACATTGTGGAATGAGCAGCATGTCAGTGTGAGTGGAGCACTAATTGGCGTTACACACACCGTCTCCACATAATGGGAATCGATTTTCAATATGCGGTCAAACTCCCACACCTTTCGTCCATCAGAGAGACTCGTCAATAGGCCTCGGCAGATGCTGCTGTTTTGGCTAGCAAGAATGTCACATTGCTTACCATGTGCGGGTATTTCTCTGGATCCGTGACGCTGATGTCGGTCAGCTTGATGTTGAGGTACTGAAACAGGAAAAGGAAACAAGCAGGGCACTCGTCAAGTCATGTTTAAAAGTCTTTGGTCAGCATGAGCTTTGTCGCTCGTAATTGCGTCCAATTTGACACACTAAAACAGTAGATTCATTGCAATAGCTAAAAATGAATCACGGTTCAATTTTAGGGTTTATGAGTTTTTGAGGCTAGCTAGTTTTACTTTATTATTATTTATTTAAATTACTTTCCCCCTGTTGAGACTTTTCATAACATGTTTCTCATCGATAGATCGATAGATAGATAGACACACACACAGAATATTAATACAAATAAATGTATCCATACCTGATCAACCGAATGAAGAGTTCCACATATGCTAGAAAGAAAATAAATTGATAAGTAAAACAATACAGCCGAGCATCACCACGCGTTCCAATCAATTTTCGATTGATTCACACAATGCTATAAGTTATCAATTTTACAATACAACAATTAAGCTCACCTCAGGTCGTTTTTCAGCTCCACTACCACGTCTTTGCCAACAAGCGACTTGAAAAACGAGTAGAAAAGCTGAACATAAAAAAAGAGCGGAAAACGACACAACATCGTTAGCCTAGCTGCAAGCTAACAGAGAAGGGGACCCGGATAGCACACGACCAAACAAAACATTATTTTCGTTAAGACGAAAACTTTTATTTAACATCAATGAAATGCTTCAAATTGCGACAAATTCATTCATTCGAGTCGATTTTCTCACCATTGCTGCGCCGTTTTGATTTTTGCGGCGTTTGGTCTGACGTCGATGATGTTGGAACCGCGTCTGTGACGTCCTTTCAAGGCGACAGACCGTGGCGGTGAAGGCGGTTTGACCAGAGTTCCACTAGATGGCGCCATTTCCACCATAATGTAAGCTTTCGCTTACTTGCGATGAAATGTGTGATGCTTGGTCGTATGTAAATTGAGATAATGTGCACATTTATGACTAAATGTTTGTGCCGAATGAAAAAAAAAAGAATGAAATACATATATAGAGAGATAGTGCTAAAACACACAAGTACTGTACTGTAAGTCCAGACGTTGCTGTTGCAGTTACGTTTATTGGAGCAATGATCATAAATCTCAGTGGCATCAAACGTACAATATGTGCAAGATGCGCAAGATGCGACTGTTAGCATTCAATGTTGTGTGTGTGTGTATATATTTATATGTTTGTATGTATGTATATAAAATAATTAGCATTCAGCTCAGCAGAAAAGAGAACAGAGAGACACAATGGACACAATGATGCAATAGTTATGAGTTGTGAGGTGGGAAAGCAGCGTCTCAAGCAGCAACCAGCTCTCACTTCACGGAATGGCCCATCTTGGGAACGTTGGGATGCGCTGAAAAAAAAAAAAAAAAAAAAAAGAAACCCCATCATGAAATAAACTGGAAATTTGGGACACATTTGTTCGGGTACCCTTTTGGGTTTCGGACTGTGGTGAAGACAGACGAAACCAACAACCTAGTTGTGAAGTATCAGGTGTGGAGGCACCCTCCTTACGGTCTTTTTGGAGCGGCGTCTGGCCGGGTCTCGCAGGTGGTCTGTGTTTGCCTGGGAGTTCAGAGCAATCCCTGTAGTCTCTGGGCTTGGGGGCCTGTGGATCCGGGGGACCTGGGCGAGCTTTGGTGGGCAGGGGAGGTCGGCTGTTGACCCCGCAGCCCTGCGAGCGTGACGGAACCACTGGCTTCTTTTGCTGCGCGACAGCGGCTGGAAGGAGAGATTTCGACTCGGAGCAGGTGAAGGAACGATTGCGAGGTGTGGGCACCGGGGGTCGTTCGGGGTCTCCGTCCGATGACTTTGATCCGAATACAGGATCCGGCTGCATGAGTTGGTTCTTCTGCGTGGCATCCTGGTCCTTGCACTGACTTTGTGATGTTCTCATGGAGGCGTAAAGTGGATTGTCGAACATCTCGGAGGCCTCCACGCCACTAAGAGACAAAATCCACATTTCCAGTTTGGTTTATCTTTCACGCTGTGGTCAACTGTGAAACCTGGCACTCACGCTGGCTTCAAAGGTTTTCCGGTGGGACTCTTCTTGGAGTCCATCGCGGCTTGCCCACCGATGGGCAGGTTCCTGGGCGGCATGCTGTAACTCCAGCCTTTGTCGATCACGCTCCTGTAGGACACCTCCATGTAGCTCGGGTTGGATATGTCATGGCTAACCGGAGTCCTGTCGCCGCTTTTGCCTTTCGAGTCGTCTCTCTCCACTTTGACGAAGTCTGACGGTCAAATAAAAAAATAATAATAATAATAAATAAATACATTTTGATGAAGCTGAAGTTTCCAACTAAATGACGTGATCTGACTCACCGTATAACTTCTCCGTGGGTTTGCCTTCAAAGGTGTGTAGCTGAATACCGCCGGTCAAAATGCCGGATTTCTCGCCGTGGTGTGTGAGGGCCACTTGGAACTCCGTGTAGCAGAACTGGGCGGCTCGTAGGGCCACGCAACCCTCACCTTGAGGCAAATGCAAAAAAAAAAAAAAAAAAAAAGGTTTTTAATTAACTCATTAAATCCCAGCCATTTTTACTGGAACAATCCCCTCAATCCCAGCGTTTTACTGGATTTTGACTGATCTTGCAAGGCCCACAGAATATTTGGTTCTAATGCGATATAAACAAGGAGGCTACCAAAATAAAGTTCAGACACTCTTCTTTCAGCAGAAAAAAAATTGGTTCTACCTTTTTCCATTGTTCAGCAATCAGCATTACAATATGGCTAAGTTTCATGAAAATGGCGATTTCTGGGCAAAAAACGGAGAAAAAGAGCTTTTTGTAAAAGCATGCATTTCAAGCACGTGAGGCACCACTGCCACCTACTGGTCGCTTTTTTACATGATTTACAATGCAAACGGTTGGTTATTCTCATTCACAGATTGCATCAGACCCTCCTCCTCTCTATGAGGCAAAAAAAAGACTTAGACGTACAAGTACGTCCTTGGTAGGCGGGGCCTAATTTTAAAAAGACGTACAAGTACGTCTTGTGGAATGAAAGAGTTAAAAAATCAATTTCATTGAAAAGCCTTCCTTTTCACATTTTTTTTTTTGACCATCTGCTATTTTTACCGTATGACTCGTCCGAGTCTGTGGACTTCACACAGATGAGGATGTGCTGGTCAAGCAGGTACTCGGCGTCCGAGATGATTGGCGTCAGCTGGGAAGAGATAAACAAGATTCGCTCCATTCTACGACGGATCTTCTTTTTTCGTCGCAGAATCTTTACCTCGACTTGGTTGCCGAACCACACTTTGATGGAGCCGTCCGAATGCTCCGTGTTCTCGCCTTCGCAGGTCCTGACGCTTTCTGAAGAAATTCAGTGACATGTGAGGTATTTGAGGAGGTCCTTAAGGTACGCTGGACCGGCTGAAGTCGAAGCGGGAGGTACAATTCAGAAATGAAATTCCCGTAAAGGCGCATGAACCCTTTCAGGGACGGCGGTTACTGCAGTGGACAGTTTATCATGTCTTCACAATCAAGATGTAAACATAAAGAATTTTGATTGTTTGTGACACTCAGCCCAGCAAGTGTCGAAAGGAGAAATTTTGGGCACATTACCGCATTTTCTTTAGCTTTTTTTTTTTTTTTTGGTTGAAAATGGAACACCAGCATGGATGACATCACGTAAAGGTGGCAAAAGGTCTGTTAGCTTACTCTCCAAGCAGCTGGAGTGGTATTCGATAAAGAACTTGGTCTTGGACTTTGTCAGCAGGGTGGCCTTGCAGTTCATAATCTGGATCGCACCTTGGGGGGCACTGTTTGGATCTGGAAAAAAGAAAATGAAAATACACAACTCAGCGGTTTTGGAGGAGGAGGAGAAGGAGTGGAAAATTGCCCGTGGAGTAAACAAACCTCGCTTGGAGACAAACTGCGAAGCCACGCCCACTTCAAATGAGGCGAATACCGGTGAGTGGTCGCTGGTCATAATGTCGTTTGTGCATCCTGGTCAAATGAGAAGATTTTTTTTTTTTTTTTAACTTCTATTTTAGAAAATATTTGGAGGCCGAGAGAAAAATTTGCTACAAATGACTCACCGTAGGCTTGACAGACCACATGGACCAGAGGGTACGACTTCCACAGGACACGATCGCACCATGACGGCAAATTATATTTCGTCTGCGTGATTTCGATGTGAACACCAGATTATATTAAAGCACTTTTTTGGGTGTGTCAAATGCAAAATACTCATATCTATATCAATAAAGGCAGTATGTGGACCACTGGTGGTCCCCAAGAAACTCTCAAGTGTGAGTAAGTTATGGAAGTAAAAGACATCGCACAATCGCTGTATCATGATGTTATCCATATGAGTTGAATTTTGGGTGAAGTTACTTGAGATTCCCACTGCCCTTTGAAATTGAGAAACAATGTTATATGCATTAAGGGGGGGGGGGGGTTAAACATCTGGCAAAACACAAACGTACCCCTGTGGTTTTGGCCTTTGTGTAGGCATACTTGTCACGCGTGTAGCGCTCAAAGCGATACGTGGGAGCAAAAGTGATCTCCTCCTCGGCTAGGATCCGAAAAAGAAAGAGAGAAAAAAAAAAGACGTCTCAAGTCATTTGGATTTTTTTTTTTCCCGGATGAGTTTGATCAATCAAGACTCACCAAAGTGCAGGAAGATTTTGTCGTCGTTGATCTCCATGTTGAGCTGGTCTCGGCACAGCAGTTCCTGGTAATGCTGCTGCTTGATCTTTGATACCACATACTCCGCTTCCTGAGGTGTTAAAAAAAAAAAAAAAAAAACAACAATAACAACTTTCACTGGATCATTAATTTAGCCGCACACTCTTTACAGAGCGAGAACTTTACTGCGTATGATATTTCATTGGTTTCTGCCATTTACCAGATTGGAGAAGTCCACCCGATAGTTGAGATCACCGAGCCAGAAGAGGTGCGTGAACTGATGGGTAATGTCAAACGGATTGAGCTTCTTGTCTCCCAGATTGAGGAATCGCAAAATGTTCAAGTAGTTTTGGTTACGCCTGAAAAGACGGGAAACGCGCACGCTTACATGTCAAGCTTGCCATTTGGGGCAAAAATCCAGAAGCCGTGAGAACCGGCAGCATGTCCCCGCCCACCTGAGCTTTTTCTCGCTTCCTGACGTCAGGTGACTGTTGACAAACCCGAAGGATGTGCCGTTGAACATGAAGGACACTCCGACTGCTCCTTTGTTTCCTGAGGGGGGAAAAAAAAAAATGAACATTCACAGGGGAACACAGTTGCCCAGGAACATTTTTGTCACATCATTTTTACGGCTTGCCTACCCAAAGTGTTGGCAATCCCTGTCTTGACACTGTCGGAAAAAACATGTGAGATCCTGTTTTCATGCTCCGGCTTGGCCAGGACCATAATCCGAATGTTCCACAGTGTTTGGATCGCTACCTGTGAGGTCGTCGGAAGGTCATTTAAGGATAGACGCCTCCCGAACTGACACTTCCTGATCCACTGACCTGTTTGAAGCTGATATTTGTGATATCCCTCAAGACCCCTTTCACCGTGTCGGCCCACTCCCTTTCGCCAAGAGGGTCCTCCTGCGTCCCGATGACGTAAATGTCGTGCGAGATGTGGTCAGCCGTGTCATCTCGGGTTTTCCCTTGGCCTTTACACTGAAACCACGAGTTGATGTTGTGCGGTGGACCCGCATTTCCTGCAGGTTCATGGGGGAGGGTTGGGGGGATTAGAGTAGAACATGACACCATTTGGTCTAATGCAAGGGTGTCAAACCCATTTTTTTTTTTTGGTCACGGGCCACGTTTTAGTTCGTGTTTCCCTTGGAGGGCCGTTGTGACTGAAACCATATAAAGAAGTCAAGAATAACGGTTTATTCAACTGTCGTTTAAGTTACTATAGTGAGGGGTTTTGGCAACAAGAAAATACTTACAATAACCTGTCTTGTTTATTACGTATGAGAATATGAATTTTGGTCCAGATTTTAGCAAGCATCATGTAAGTTGACGTGTTTGATTTGGTTTCGCGGGCCACATAAAATGATGTGGCGGACCAGATCTGGCCCCCCGGCCTTGAGTTTGACATCTGTGTTCTAACAGGTTAGGATGGATGATTTTTAACTGAGGCGGACCAGGTTTGACTCCTGACATGGGAATATATTTTCCCATGTCAGACTTGAAGATTCTTACCCATATTCCAGGTGCCGACAAAGACTGTGATCATATCCGGTTCTGGCTTTTCTGAATGTTTGTTCTTCATTTGTTGAAGAAGCTGACAGAAACCTTCTCTTTTCTGAAATAGGAAGGAAAATGTCAAGATTCCAAACTTTTAAATGAGTCTTCACTTGAGCGGAGTACAGAAATTCATGGGCGAATTTGAGCTTTGCCTTTGGGAGCCATTTTTGACTCCTAAACCGCTCCTTGCTGCCAACAAATTTTAAACCTGTTCTCTAGTTACAATGACAAATCCTTCAGTCTGTGATCCGAAATCCTACACCGAGTTCAATAAAGTGTGTGACTGCAATCTCGTTAGCAAATAAGTGACGAAACAACGAGTCTAGCGTCTTGTATTTTTTCTTCGACCCTCACTCTTGTTTTTCTTATTATAGTTTCTTCGGTTTTCAAACGTCTCTGTTCTCGACCAGAAATTTCGAGCTATTACGGCTCGGAATACAACCGAAAACCGTATTTCAACCAAATTAAGCAAACCCAAATACGCCACTTGACTCCTCTCGGCTTCCTTACACGAAGAAGTAGCGTTCATTGTGGGCAGACGTGTTTGTTGTGATTTACGCAAATCGGACTGTTTCATGTTATTTCTGTATAGTGTATTCGCCCCTAATCATGGCCGAATAAAATAGTTTCGGATTTCGAACAAATCGATTTTCGAACAGCCTTCTGGAACGGATTATGCTCGAAAACCGAGTACGAGAGTCGTGATTGTTGTTGACGTGTGTGCGAGTGCCGATTTTCTTACCTCGAGTACACGAAAAAAAAACTATCGTCGCAGTAAGCACATGCTTGCCATTTTTTTTTTGTCCTCGTCACATATGGGGCTCTCTCTCAGTTTTTAAAGACATTAATAACCGGCATGTCTGTGCCGTTCTTCGCGAAAGCGTGTGTCGAACCTTGGTGTTGTCAAAGGTAAACTCCTTTCGTAAAATCTTCTCTTTCTCCGTCTCCACCACGATGACCAGTTTGGCGTGCATCTTTTGCGACTTCACCAGCTGTCTGACTGAGTGACAATACCAAGTACAGTACATGGTTTAAAATGTGCAGCTTTATATCCATGAAATCAGGTCAATAGTCAAAGTAGCCCGGAGACAATGCCAGTGCGGATTAAAAAAAAACAACCTATCCTTACTTTTGTTGTGCACAAAGTACTTGTCGTCAGGCCCGTCCTTGGCTTTCTTGATGTGAAGCTTCCCGCCTTCCACATCGACTTTCATGAACATCTTGATGGGGATTCCCAAAGATTCCTGCTTGACCTGACGGGTGAGAGACGATGATCCAATAAATGACAAACCGTCTATTTCCAAGACGTTCCAAAGCGCTTACCTCAAAGACAACAGGCGGTATAAGAGACTTTCTGTGCCGTCCTTCGTAGCCGACAGAATTGAACACAGCATTTATAGCCTAAAAAGAGAGAACGGTGTTTTAAACCCGACGGCATAGCTCGTAGTACATATCGGAATGAACGTCGGAAGTTACGTTATCCTCGATGGAGTAGAGCAGTTTGGTCAGTTGCTCCAGCCTCGTGGAGACAGATTGGCCTGGATCTGGTGGAATCTGGAAAATAAAAAATAGCCCAGTGACAATTTTGGGGGTTGAGTTAGCCAGGATACCAAAAGGAGCATGCCACTCACTTGTTTTGGAAGCATTCCAATGCCTGGTGAGAGCTGCTGGTCCAACGCTCGGCGGCAAATCTCCAGTGCTGGTAGGATGCGGGAAATTTCACTGCCCCCCCCCCCCCCCCGAAAACCCCATAAAAAATGTCTCTTATTATTTGATAATATGTTTGTCTGAGTTATCTGGTCTCGATCAATGAGCGGGCAAGACAGTGAAGCATGTGGTTCTCAAACTTCTCATCCAGTAGTCTGATTTTCTGTCATGGTGTGTATTTGGGTGAGTGTCGGTGTAGTGTGAATGCTGTTTGTTAATATTTGTCCTGTGACTGACTTTTTGACAGTCCAAGGTGTCCCGGGATAAACTCCAACCCACTTGTAACTCTAAACAGAATAAGCATCGAAAATGGATAAATGGATAGTCGATGAAGCGTACCTGTTCAGATTCTTACAGATGGCCACCGTGAGCTTCTTGAGACCAGGAAGGCTAGTGTTACCATTTTGGACTTGTTCAGCATCCATAGAGATGGAGGTCCTAAAGTAGTCGAAAATGAGGGTTTGCTGCTCCTCTGGGATGCTGAAAATACACATACAAAGCTTGAACGCCGAGACAAGGTACCCAGATGTTCAAGTTTGCATCAAAACAAGCGTACGTGCTCATGTCCATGTGCTGCACCCTCATCAGGAAGGTGTCTGACAGGCATTTGCCGGCTTGCTCGTTGTCCTTTAGCTCGTTAGCCATGAAGTTTCTGGGTGGAAGCTGTGGTGGAGGATTGTTGGCTTCTGGAGGAGAAACCCAGGGGTTGTTAGGATCTTTTGTTGGAGCTTAACGTTTACTTGGATGTGTCCTAACCCGGTTCCTCGTCGAGCTCCTCCTCCCTTTGGACGGCGTACTGCAAATGGGTGACGAGCCCCATGTTCGGGTTGTGATAGGCCTCCACCAGCTCTGGAAGCATGGAAAAGAACCTGATGGGGACTCCTTCTGATGCCTGGAGGGACGATAGAAGCACAAACACAAAATCTTCGCTAGGTCTTTGGAGGGCAACTTTGGTCGTCAACAACCGAATGGATAACCGAAGCGATATTCCTGAATCTTTCGAACCTTCAACCTTTCAAGAATCACACCTACAAAGTAAGCTTTTTGCCTGTATTTTTTGACGTGTAAACCACTCAGCTCAATCCTGTTCTGGATACTTTATGTCCACTAATCAGCTCACTGCTCATTCTGTCCAAGCTAGTCAGGTCCCTTCCTATCCTAACATTGCTCTACCCAGCTGTCTCTTGTGTATAGATTTAAACCGGTTTCACTTCAGTCTGTCACCTGCCAAGAAAATGCCACAAGATGAGAGTCTGACTCTGCAAACACCGTCCTGTTCCCTCTGTACCTTCATAGGACAAATAGTTTGTAAAAATGTATTTATTTATTCATTTGCACATGGGGATAATATATTTTTAGCCTTGTACGACAGTTGTGTAGTATCTTTAGAAACCTTAAACAGATTGTGACCCACCTGGACTGACAGCTTCTTGTCTTCATTGGGTAGAATTCTGTATGTGTAAACCTGGTTCTGGAATCTGTGGTTAAACATTGTAAAAAGTGCAACAATGTCACTTCTTAAAGACATATTTAACAAGTACAAGGAGAACTCGAATGTCGTGTACTTACAAAACACACAGGGCAAATGCCCCTTGTATTGACTCGCTGTCCCGAATGAGGAAGCTTCCATCTTTGGCCGCCTTAGAGAGCAGATCCTCCGTCTTGGACCGATTGATATTACCATGACACCAAGCCTGGTAGCTCTGCATTGTGACCTGTCCTGTTCCTTTTGCATCTAAACTAGTCTAACATTAATGCCGATTGTTTTGTTTTTTTTTTTCCTTTGGGAGCTTCATCTTTCACAAGTGCGGTCTTTCATTCTCACTTCCTCATTTGAAACAGACACCCATACCCCTACACACACACACCCCCATATGGCGGATATGTCGCATATCCATAAATGCAAATACAGGCACAAAATGAAGTATTTGTCATGTTAATACCCTTCTCTTAAGAACTGCATCTTGTATTTTTTTTTGTATGTCTTTGAACTGTTAGGAACAAAAACCAGGAACTGACAAAAAAAAGGAAGTGCCAATCATAACACAAAGTTATTTAACTAGGTGTGAGACTCTGCTACAAATAAAATTTATCAGCCTGGTGTTCTAGCCTAAAGTTACTGTGATGTGACGATCGGCTTCAATGAATTTACGTGAGAAGTCGGGTGTGAACAATATTCAGGAAGCATCGCTTTCGAGCGGCTTGCCATTTTCATGCGATGGACAGGAAACATTGCAGAAATAGGAGGAGGAAAATAGACGGCTGAAGAAAACCACAACCCGGGTCACATGACACAAAAAAAGTAGATGTGCTAATGACAAGCCCTGCCTGATCTTTAAATAGCTTTAGCCACTTTCACAGTAAACTGTGATGGCTAATGTCTTTTTTTTTTTAACTAAATTTACTGATAATGTTCAGAGATTAACCACACATTTTTGTCATAATACATTTATTGTTGACATTATAAAGTCATAAAAGGCTCAAAATGTTCTACATTCTCTATTTACAATCATATATACAAGCACAAAAGCAAGAGAAGTATAAAAATGTCATCCTGTTAGCTTGGCTAGCCTTTGCCGTAGCATTTTGGCGAACAAGCTAACAACAGTTATCTAACCATTAGCTCACAAATACAATACAAGTTTTTTCCTTGTTACCATACATGAGATAAAATGGTTTACGAGAGTTAGGGCCATACTAGAGAGAAAAATGTGAGACAATGAGTTTAAAGTCTGAATTTTACGAAATGAAGTAATATATTTTTGAGGGAAAGAGTGAGATTTGAAAGAAAAAGTTGCAGAGTATATTTGGCGGAGGGTGGGGGGTGTATTACGGAACAAAGTATCACATTTTGAAAGAAAAACAATTTAATTTGGTGGAAAAAATAGTATTTGAAATGGAATTAAAGGCACAGTTTTGGACAATGATGTTTATATTTACATTGAAGATTTGTTAAGCACAAGTAAATATGATACCGGTATCAAACCGTGATAGTAATACATAGTTTAAAAATGTAAATATCATATAAAGCTATATTGTGAAAATATTTAATTGGGTGAATTCAACACTTGTTTGAGGTTGTACAGGATTCAACAGAACTTTAAGCTCAAGAGCTAAATGCTATCATGCTAGAGTTGTGATCATGTTAATCTTCATCTTTTGGCTCTCACTTTGGCTTAAACTCGCACTAAAACATGGCGAGGAAAAGCAATTTTGGCAATTGAAATTATTTTATTTGTTGTAGTTGCTATAAATGCTATGGCTCCAATGTTTGGAATAAAATGTCAGACACATTTATATACATGAGACCAGCATTATCAGACAGATCTTTGAAAGATGATTCCATTGATGTACTGTCATGAACATTACCTGAGACAAATATGAACTAGGTTATGAGTAAAACCAGTGAAAATCCACACAATTCTGTCCAGCGTTTTTTTTTATGTACAGCCAACAGGGGTCGCACGACCGCATGTGATGTTTTTTGCTGAATCAGAGTTTCAAACTTTCATAACCTTCTTCATCTTTATACTCGTTTCAGACGGTCGCTATCATTGGAAATCTTGCTAAACACACAAACAGAAAAGATAATAGTTACACACTACAAAGTAATGGTCAAGTGTCAAGCAGATGACGTTCAGATAATGTGTAGCTTAATTTGGCACTCCAACGTGCAGAGGAAAAAAAAAGGTGAGAATGAACAAATACTGAGCTGTTCAAATGCACATTGTAGTAAGCAATAAATTTAATATGAGCCATCATGGCAGGGCCAGTACCATCAAGGGACCTGCTTCCCAATGTCCAGTCCAAAAAATGTATGCGGATCGAGCAATTTACATCCACTGCGGCAGAGAGAATAGAAAAACATATAATGCTGCTAATGGATTTGAAAAACAGCCTGGGAAGTTTTTCTGGGGTGTTTGTCAAGAATAAAATTGGTATAAGTTGTTTTGGAAAAGTCATTGTTTTGGGTGGTTGCTGCATGAAAGTCAAAAGTCAAATTCATTTTTCTTGCAGGCCACATTTTAGTTACTGTTTCCCTTATAAAGAAGTCAAGAATAGCAGTTTATTCAAATTTTGTTTAAGGTACTGTAATGAGGAGTTTGATAACAAGAATATGCCTTACTACCCATAAGAATTTGAAATTTTGGTCGAGCTTTCAGCAAACATGGAAGTTTACATATTTGATTTGCTTTCGCGGGGCCACATAAAATGATGTGGGGGGCGCAGATCTGGCCCTCGGACCTTGAGTTTGACACCCGTGATTTAGCGGCTTAAGATCCAGTTCAAAACTCTGACTTGGCACTCACAGAACTCTCATGGGTTCCTTTCAACTCTCCACTAGTGGCTCCGGACGCCCCCGCCGCCTTGTCTTTGCACAGCAGTCGTATCAAGGTACTGCGGAACTTTTCCGCACCGAAAAGGTAGATGAGCGGGTCCATGGCGCCGTTGAGGCACGTCAGGAGTGACGTCAGTCGGTTGGCCAGGCTCAGGCCTCGGCGCGTCTGGCATGACACATCTGGGTGGCTGTAGCCCAAGATGAAGGTGGTGCGGCTAGCATGGTAGGGCACGAAGCACACCACATAAATAAGCATGACCAGACCGATGGTTCGCAGCGCCCTCAGTTTGAGGGTGGGCTCCAGCCGGGACCCCCGGTGCAGGCTACGGATGATGAGCAGGTAGCAGCACAGCGTAGCGAGGAAGGGCGGCGTAAAAGCGACAGCGAGGGAAATTAGCGCCTTGCGTGATGCATTTTCCCGATAGAGCTGCAAGCAAACGGTGGTGCCGTCCACCTCCAGCGTCTGGCGGGTCATCAGCAGGGGCGCCATGGAGACAGTAACCAGCACCCACAAACTGAAACTGATGATTCGGGCGTAGCGGGCGCGGCGCACCTTCAGCGAGCGGACGGCGTGGACGACCGCCAGGTAGCGGTCGCCCGCCACGCACGCCAGGAAGTACAAGCTGGCGTACATGTTGACGTAAAAAAGGAAGCCGGCCAAGCGGCAGGGCACCTCGCCAAAGGGCCAGTGTCCCCCGATGAGGTGGTAAGTGGCCCTCAGGGGAAGGATGACCACGTAGGATAGGTCGGCCACGGCCAGGTGGGTCAGGAAGACGTTGGCTGGCGAGGACGTGCCGCGCTGGTGGGAGAAGATCCAGAGCGCCAGGCTGTTGCCGTTGAGCGCGAGGAAGAATATCAGGATGTAGAAGCTCCCAAACAGGACGTTCTCCATTGCCGACTCCGTCGCGCAGCTTTGGAACGTCTGATTGGGCATCAGGGACGGCAGCTCCGTCGCGGACGACTCCATCTTTGGTGTCTGGCAAACATTTGTTCAAAAAGAAAAATGGGATCGTCTGTTAAAAATCCGAAACGTTCCCCAAACCAACAATCTTTCCTGTGATGAAAACAAGTTTGACAACGTATGAGTTTGGAAGTTTCAACTGTTTGCTAGCTGGGTGCTAGCTAGCCCTAGCTAGCAAACAGTTCTACGCCGTATTTGTCGCTAATGTCAGGTTAAGCAAGGGGCAGGGGGACCCGAAAGACTGAGTAGCCAGTTCACCGCCGTATTTGTCGCTAATGTCAGGTTAGCAAGGGGCAGGGGGACCCGAAAGACTGAGCAGTGTTTTGGGGCTCTTGCTTTGTACAGAGGAAGTCTTGATCTTTGGAGCTAGTCCGAGTCACGATCAGATTTTTTTTTTTTTTGCCGATTAGCAACACTGACATCTACTGTTGGGCAGTGGGGACTGGCCTGTGACAAACACTGCGAAAAACTGCTGCACCGAGTTTCCTGTCGCTGTCCCGCATTCCGCTAATAGCAGATAGTTTAGATTACCGGTGTGCGACACGTCCCTTCTGCTGCGTTCAGTTTCCTGTCATCGTCCGCTTTTCTGCTAATCGCAGAGAGACGGTGAAGAGATGAACGGTTAGGATTTTATACCGAGGTCAACGTGTGGTGCATGTGGTCTTCAAATCTGCCTCGCAGTTGTGCTGGTCGAGGTTCAAATCTGATCCCCTGGCTTTCAGTTTGCATGTTTCTTTCCTCCACTTCCCCAAAACAGACACGTCGGATGAATCGAGGATGGGAAATAGTCCAAAAAGTGCCATTATGAATCTGAACGTTCGTTAGCCGAAATGTGCAGGGTGCTACGTTTCTTGCCAAAAGTCAGCTTGTACAGCCAAAAAAAATTACAGACCAGAACTTTGGAAAGCAAAGTGCTAAAGGTGTGTCCTATAAACAAAACAAGAAAATGCCTCTTGCCATAAATAAACCTCAACTGGTAACCTTGAAGTAACCTGGGAGGATATTCCCCAGTTGCATCTAAAATGGAGTCAAGTTTGGCGAACACATTCCCGCATTCCACTTGAGATTGCATGTTATCTTTAAGACACACCTTGCTTTGAATCACCCTCGACTCCGGTCCCCCGGGACACCCGACAGACTGCATCGCCCTGCATCACGACCATATTGTTACGGCGTTCCTTTTCATCGCAACAGCAGGGCGGGAACGACCAAAAAGTAATAGCTTGTCGACGGCGCCGCAGATGTTGAAAGGAGCGACGGGTCAAGGAAAAACCGAAAGGAATCCGTCTCGATTGCGAGTGTCCTGACTTTTGGTGCATTGGGAGTCAGTCAGACGTTGCAGTGTGTGTGCATTTCTGCGTGACAGCTTTCGGTGGGGGGAGATCAGGCTGCCAAGTGAGCTCAAATAGTGAAAACTAATTCGAGGCAGCTGACAAGAGTGAAAATTACCATGTCAGTAATCCGACAACAAAATCACAGGGATCTGGTCCCGAAACCGTTGGTGGTGTGCATGTGCTTACGTACAAGCAAAAAGCGCAACACCAAAAGTATTTACAAAGAAACCGCTATAAAAATAAAATAAAATAAATAGAACAGCAAAGAAGAATAAAAGTAGCTTCAAGAATAAATGCCGCCATAAATTGCCCCCAGTCTGTCGAGCACTACTGGCTTCATATTCAATTCGCATTTTTAAAATATATTCACAACCCGAGCAGTTCGATGATTTCCAGATCAGTCACAGAAATTTTAAGTCAATTTACAGATTATTGGGAGCCGCTTGAACTGGACTAGTATGTTCTCTTTCTCCATCTGCAGCGCTTTGGATGAGCTGCAGGTGTTTGATGATCTTTTGAGGGAATCCAGAAAGTAGACCGTTACAATAACACCTCCCTCCCAAAAACAAAAAAAAGCATGGATGATGTTTTTTCTGGTCTGCTGGGAGCATTTTGACCCTTCACTCTGAAGATGTTTTTCCGCTGGTAAAAGGCAGTTTGAGTGATCGATTTCAGGTCAGCGTCTATCAGCACCCAAGATTTCACACTTGGTCTTTGGTTTTTTTCGAAACAGTGACTCAAAGTAGTGACGCGAGGTCAACAAAGGACACATTGATTGCAAAAAAAAAAAAAAGCTGCGTTTCTTTTCTCCCAAGTGATGCCGTTTAATCCCATTTTTAATTGAAAGCCTCGAACATTTTCTTTTATGTAATCGCTTCAATGGATTGTCAGTTCAAAACAAAAAAGCGCCTTAAACGGATTTGTCAGAGTGTGCGCCCAAGATAATGGGAGACTCGGGCTTTTCATAGAGAGAACATGGGGGAAAAAAAATCCAGAAAATCATCAGCCAAAAAGAACACATCCTCGCCACGGAATTTGTCTTGATGCCCTCGGGCCGGCGTTACTCGTGCGCCCCCGATGAGGACAGACACCCTTTCATTCCTTCTGCCAGTCGGCCGCTCAACACTTGCATAATTCTTTGGAAATGAATGACTTTTCTCTCAATCGATCGGATAACGTGATTTGTATCGCACGTGAGTAATTGTTAGCAACGATGACAAAATTAAGAAAAGACACGGGTGCGGTACACGTGCACGTGAATCTGATTTCCAGTACGAACCAACAAACAACAAAGACGATTTAGGAACATGAAGAAATAAATGATTTACATCTTTAACCACGAAGCATTTGGGAATGAGGTCATCTCAGCCCCATCGTTTGGTGGTGGCGGTGTTGGGGGGGGCCTGACGTCACATAGGAGCCAAGTCACGTATTCAGCACGACATCTCTCGAGTATGTATCTATACCAATGAAGGAAGTTGTTTTTACACTCCCAACTCTTATCTACCGCTGCGAGAGTATATTGATAAACAATGTAGATTATACATGTTCAGATTTACAATTAAAGAGTTAAAATGTCAAATAGAAAAAAAAGAGTGCCCCGTCGTCCACTGAGATGTCCATATATATACACAGGTACACACAAATGATCACAAATGATTGGAACCTTTGGTAAACAAAACTGGTGTGTTTGGTTTTTTTTTTTTCTGTGGAGGATTGTGTAGGTGACTGAAATTGGTTGAAAGAGTCTTCCCAAACAAAAATCGAATCATTCTTTATATGACACAGTGTTTCATAATTCAAGGTCACTTTACAAAAAGTCTTATCTCAGGAACTGGCAAGGGGTAGCAAGATAAAGCCGGTTGACTTGTAAGTTGAAACCTTCAAGTTTTCTGTTGTGGTTTGTCTCGTCAGGCCACAATCAACGTTTTCACTTTTTGCGGGAAAGGTGCTTCGCATTGATTTCATTGTTGCAGTTCAGTGGAACAAAGGAGGCGTTTAGTGGCTGATCTGAAGACCTTGAGAAACGTTGATCCCGATTTGGTTGGTGGAGTTGGGCGAGGAATGGAATCCCGTTTGGATAGACAAATATTTGGGAATAAATTCATGGATTTTGCGGTTCAATTTTTTTTCTTGCTCCAAAACTTATGATCAGTAAAGATACGTTTGATTTTCACATCTGAGATGTATCACGATACACTATAAGGTATCGTAAAGTGATACCGACTCATGTGACACACTGTGCTCTCCGAGAGCAAAAAAAAAAAAAGTAATTGAAAAGACTCACCTGATATTCTCAGAGAAAGCCTGAAGGAAAAAACCCGCTGACAGTCTGATCGCCACAGAGGATAAAGACGTCCTTGGGTGGTGGTGTGGGGGGGCCACTGCGAGATAAACAGATCGTGATTCTTCTTCACCTCACCCTCGCCTCTCCTCCCTCAAGATGTTCTCGCCGGCGAGACGGCGGCTCTTTTTGTGCCTGTACAAATTTGACAACAGAGAGAGAGGGAGTCCCGACGGGAGGCTTGGGTTTGAACCCTGAACCCTCCCCTTTCTTCCTCCTCAGAGAGTTACTTGTTGCGCTCCACAATAGCCCCGAGTCAGACTAAGTGAAGAAGAATGGCATGCCTCGCCCGGCCGGGGACCCGCTTGTCAGGCCGCCGCTCCATGGAAACCGTGAAGGCCCCCTCCAAGCCCACCC